CCTGAGGCAAGTCTGAACTATCAAAAGGTTCCTCCAGGCTCAACTAGTCCAATAGACCAGGACTCAAATATGAACGACCATGAGAGTTCCAGACGGCGTCCCTGGAACCGTGAAGAGGTCAAATTTGGTCAAATCCTTTGCTCATTACACTAATAAACTGATCCATTAGTCATTTACTCAGGGTGTTATGGCCTGCATAGCCAATGGCAGTGCCTCTCAGAAGCTGTATAGATAAATTTCAATTACATAATTTCTAATTTTAATCTTTGATTTTTTTTAATCGCAGGTAATTCTGGACAATCTAATGTTAAACCCAGTCTCCCAGCTCTCCCAGGCTATCAGAGAGAACACGGAGCAACTAGCAGAGAAAATGAAGTATGAAGTAAAATATTTCGTATTTAAAAACAAACTGTGGGTGGGACATCTTGAAGGGATTGTTCTTTCTTCTTCTTTAATCATCTTCTTCTTTTTTTTAAAGATCAGTAGGCTGTAGTTACATCATGTCTACAAAGTACTTGCTAACGGATTAGGGGAATGGAGATTCTCATACTAGAGAATATAGGAAAATCTGTGTAGTCCAGGATGAGTCATCAGTATTTTTGGTCCATTTTTCCCACAACAGAGACAATATATTTTAAATGTGTGTATCTGCTAAAGGTTAATTTTACACTAGCATATACACAGGGGCGTAAATTTCGTCTAACAATTGGGGGGGGGACAATAAACATAAAATTTCTCAAGAGCAATTTTTGAAGGGGACACAAATAATACAGCTAAAATTATATTTGTAAGGAAATGTATGCACAGAGGAAAGCCTTACTACTATTAGTGCAGCTGGGAGACTGAGCCAAATTAGACAATGTCGAGCTGTTGTGGTCGCACCATGACAGAGGTCATGTCAGTGTTGCTAAGTCCGCAGTTTTCACGTGGAATTGGGCTACTTTATCACTGTTGCCGTGGGTTGTTTTTCATGTCCGCAGGTTGAAGCGACCCCAATAACGTGTGTTTTAGCCCCCGGAACCCGATTTTTACCGGGGGACCCACTTGAAACGTGGTTAGTTTGGGCTAGTGTTGAGTAGCAATTGGGCGGGTTTTGTTGTGAAAACCTGGCAACTCTTTCCGTCAAGCAAGTAACGTTATTATAGCTAACATTGCGACTCATTGAAAAATGCATTGGCATCATCTGTATTAAAGAGAAAATAATCAATTAATCCGATGTTTAAGTGAATAAAATAGCCTTGACAGCCTTGGAGTTCCACAACTATTGACTTTGTTCTCTCTCACCGGACTTGTGTGTAGGTGATGTAAAGGAGGAAAGCAGGCATTTGGACAAAAGCACTGTGAGGCAAGGGCAGTAGCCTCTCACTGCAGAACACAAGATCCAGGGGGTGTGGTTGGATCCACATCTAGGGGGTGGAGATTGGTAGGTTTAAGGATCAGGGGGTTGGAGACGGGTAGGTTTAGGTATATGTAAGGTGGGAGGAGTTGGATCTGGATCCAACCACGCCCCCTGGATCTTGTGTTCTGCAGTGAGGACCATCTCGGCAAGGGAGGGGGAGACTCAAAATGTTTCTAAACTTAAAACGCATTTTTGCCCCGTTTGTGTTGTTTTACTACCTACACAATTATTTAAAGTATAAAACATTGATATTTACAATACACAGCGTGGTTTTTAATCATATTTTGAGGGGGGACAACCCTCAGATAGGAGGGGTCCTGTCCCCCCCGACCCCCCTGGAATTTCCGCCTATGCATATACAGATAGTTCAGCTAATAGACCTAGGCACACAATGCCTTTTGATTCTATTAAGATCTTTAAAACAAAGAACTGGCAATACTGTCTAGGTGTTTTGTCTGTTTACTCCCACAAATATTATGTCTCTTTTAGAGCTCTGTTTCATAACAAGACAGAGGTTTGGGAGGAAATAGAGGCAAAAATCAATGCTGAAAATGAAGTTCCCATCCTTAAAACATCTAATAAGGTACATTCCTTCCAATGTAATTTACAAAGACCAAACATTCATTTCAGAGATGTTTCTTTATTTTGTAATACTTTTCCTTACTTCGCAAGCAGGAAATCTCATCTATTCTCCAAGAACTGCGAAGAGTCCAGAGACAACTTGAGGGTGAGTTTATTAGCATTAGATTTTTAACTTTGACCCTGTATACTACACATTCTGGGCCTTCCCTATATCCATTGGTGTTTTATCTTTGTAATACCTCAGTGATCAACACTATTGTTGAACCTGGAGGAATCCTCAACATTCACTCAAAGGGCACTTCTCCCGGGGGAAAGACCAAATCTGCCTCCAAGGAGTTTACCAGCCCCACTTCTACTAATGCCAATGCAAGTGCAAAGCGAGGTCCCAGAGGACCTGAGGGAGGTCGATATGTAGTATAAGCTTACCTTCAACAATGGCATAGCCATTAGCTTGCTCTGCAAAAAGAAGAAGAAAAAACACAATCATGTCAATCATCTCTTTGGGAACTGCCATATTCGTGGCACATTTGTAAAAGAATTGTGAGACTATGTGTTGTGCAAATATGCGGCATATGCTTTCTCTAAGACTGTAGACACACTTCACAAGCTAAAGCAGGTGTAAACATTGTTCTTTTCAACAGTTGCAATCTGTGGCTTGCTCGAATGATTGTCCGTATGCCAAGTTGTCATTCATGATTGAGTGAATGAGTGGGTGTGTCACTGTATTCCTGTACCATGTCTGTTGTGGTCTCATTTGTTGAAAACCATGAGAAAACCATGTAGCATTCAATCCGTGTTCATTGTCAATCATCTAGTGCACTTGGCTGCTACAAATCTTCAGCATGAAAAAATGGGTTAAAACACAATACTTAATAAGTGCTTGCCTTCAACAATGGCATAGCCATTAGCTTGCTTTGCAGAAAAAAAGATTCATCAGCTGTTTTAAATATAATGTTATCAAAGATAAGAATCAAATATTGGTGCTTCTAAGAATATGGCTACTGTTGAATTCCCAGACATAGCGAGTTTAAATGTCGTCAAAAAGTAAGCATCCTTTGGCATAGATTACGTTTCTTTTCGTATTTTTGTTTTGCAACTACACCACACGTCTGGTGTCAGGGTGTTTGTTTATGTGTGTAAGCGAGTGCTAGATTATGTAGAATCATGTGTGATGCTGTGGTGTTGTTGCTGTGTTACAGATGAAAACTTGAAAAACGGGTTATCTTCACCCTGCCCCAATATATTATATGCTTTTATGATTGTATGCAACAAAATGATTGTTTTTAATTGAGGATGACAGAAAACTATAATTGGAGCGAACAAAAAGCAGCTGAATATAACAGGCTATCGCCCTCATGTTTGCATTAGCCATGTATTCTTTGTGTCATATACTCTTATGTATTTGTGATTTTGAATGTTTTAAAAGCATAAAAATGATGTTAAAATATCCTTTAATAAGAGAATGAAATCCACAACAATGACACACTAATATTTAATATTAACAGGGTAAAACAGGGTAAGATACCCCTTGAGGCAAGATGACCCCCATCTTAATTGCTCTTCTTAAAATATGAATACATAAAATTATATCTTTGGGATAAGATGCCCCTCCCACAATTGGCCCAGAAGAGCATGTTGTTACTAGTGTTTTTAATTTAATACGTAGATGTATATTGAATAATTCCATGAATTAGATGTCCATTTCAAAGATTTTCGCTTTTCATTAAAACCTGTTGGCTAACTGAGTGAAATCATTCAGTTTGAATTTATAGTGTTGCTGTAATGGCATATCTTCAAAATATGGGCAACTAAATATGTAAATATTCATATGCTGTATAATGTAGTAAATGCATATTGTTCTTAAGGGTGGCATCTTATCCATCTTACCCTAAATATTTTATCTTGAGACTGGCCAATATATAATTATTGTGACAACCAGTACCTTCTAATTACTACAATGTGAATGTGCAGTGAACCATACAAACTACATACAAAAACAATAGGTTACTTGCGTAACCCCGGGTCAGTGTTGCTAAGTCCGCAGTTTTCACGTGGAATTGGGCTACTTTATCACTGTTGCCGTGGGTTGTTTTTCATGTCCGCAGGTTGAAGCGACCCCAATAACGTGTGTTTTAGCCCCCGGAACCCGATTTTTACCGGGGGACCCACTTGAAACGTGGTTAGTTTGGGCTAGTGTTGAGTAGCAATTGGGCGGGTTTTGTTGTGAAAACCTGGCAACTCTTTCCGTCAAGCAAGTAACGTTATTATAGCTAACATTGCGACTCATTGAAAAATGCATTGGCATCATCTGTATTAAAGAGAAAATAATCAATTAATCCGATGTTTAAGTGAATAAAATAGCCTTGACAGCCTTGGAGTTCCACAACTATTGACTTTGTTCTCTCTCACCGGACTTGTGTGTAGGTGATGTAAAGGAGGAAAGCAGGCATTTGGACAAAAGCACTGTGAGGCAAGGGCAGTAGCCTCTCACTGCAGAACACAAGATCCAGGGGGTGTGGTTGGATCCACATCTAGGGGGTGGAGATTGGTAGGTTTAAGGATCAGGGGGTTGGAGACGGGTAGGTTTAGGTATATGTAAGGTGGGAGGAGTTGGATCTGGATCCAACCACGCCCCCTGGATCTTGTGTTCTGCAGTGAGGACCATCTCCGCCAGGGAGGGGGAGGCTCAAAATGTTTCTAAACTTAAAACGCATTTTTGCCCCGTTTGTGTTGTTTTACTACCTACACAATTATTTAAAGTATAAAACATTGATATTTACAATACACAGCGTGGTTTTTAATCATATTTTGAGGGGGGACAACCCTCAGATAGGAGGGGTCCTGTCCCCCCCGACCCCCCTGGAATTTCCGCCTATGCATATACAGATAGTTCAGCTAATAGACCTAGGCACACAATGCCTTTTGATTCTATTAAGATCTTTAAAACAAAGAACTGGCAATACTGTCTAGGTGTTTTGTCTGTTTACTCCCACAAATATTATGTCTCTTTTAGAGCTCTGTTTCATAACAAGACAGAGGTTTGGGAGGAAATAGAGGCAAAAATCAATGCTGAAAATGAAGTTCCCATCCTTAAAACATCTAATAAGGTACATTCCTTCCAATGTAATTTACAAAGACCAAACATTCATTTCAGAGATGTTTCTTTATTTTGTAATACTTTTCCTTACTTCGCAAGCAGGAAATCTCATCTATTCTCCAAGAACTGCGAAGAGTCCAGAGACAACTTGAGGGTGAGTTTATTAGCATTAGATTTTTAACTTTGACCCTGTATACTACACATTCTGGGCCTTCCCTATATCCATTGGTGTTTTATCTTTGTAATACCTCAGTGATCAACACTATTGTTGAACCTGGAGGAATCCTCAACATTCACTCAAAGGGCACTTCTCCCGGGGGAAAGACCAAATCTGCCTCCAAGGAGTTTACCAGCCCCACTTCTACTAATGCCAATGCAAGTGCAAAGCGAGGTCCCAGAGGACCTGAGGGAGGTCGATATGTAGTATAAGCTTACCTTCAACAATGGCATAGCCATTAGCTTGCTCTGCAAAAAGAAGAAGAAAAAACACAATCATGTCAATCATCTCTTTGGGAACTGCCATATTCGTGGCACATTTGTAAAAGAATTGTGAGACTATGTGTTGTGCAAATATGCGGCATATGCTTTCTCTAAGACTGTAGACACACTTCACAAGCTAAAGCAGGTGTAAACATTGTTCTTTTCAACAGTTGCAATCTGTGGCTTGCTCGAATGATTGTCCGTATGCCAAGTTGTCATTCATGATTGAGTGAATGAGTGGGTGTGTCACTGTATTCCTGTACCATGTCTGTTGTGGTCTCATTTGTTGAAAACCATGAGAAAACCATGTAGCATTCAATCCGTGTTCATTGTCAATCATCTAGTGCACTTGGCTGCTACAAATCTTCAGCATGAAAAAATGGGTTAAAACACAATACTTAATAAGTGCTTGCCTTCAACAATGGCATAGCCATTAGCTTGCTTTGCAGAAAAAAAGATTCATCAGCTGTTTTAAATATAATGTTATCAAAGATAAGAATCAAATATTGGTGCTTCTAAGAATATGGCTACTGTTGAATTCCCAGACATAGCGAGTTTAAATGTCGTCAAAAAGTAAGCATCCTTTGGCATAGATTACGTTTCTTTTCGTATTTTTGTTTTGCAACTACACCACACGTCTGGTGTCAGGGTGTTTGTTTATGTGTGTAAGCGAGTGCTAGATTATGTAGAATCATGTGTGATGCTGTGGTGTTGTTGCTGTGTTACAGATGAAAACTTGAAAAACGGGTTATCTTCACCCTGCCCCAATATATTATATGCTTTTATGATTGTATGCAACAAAATGATTGTTTTTAATTGAGGATGACAGAAAACTATAATTGGAGCGAACAAAAAGCAGCTGAATATAACAGGCTATCGCCCTCATGTTTGCATTAGCCATGTATTCTTTGTGTCATATACTCTTATGTATTTGTGATTTTGAATGTTTTAAAAGCATAAAAATGATGTTAAAATATCCTTTAATAAGAGAATGAAATCCACAACAATGACACACTAATATTTAATATTAACAGGGTAAAACAGGGTAAGATACCCCTTGAGGCAAGATGACCCCCATCTTAATTGCTCTTCTTAAAATATGAATACATAAAATTATATCTTTGGGATAAGATGCCCCTCCCACAATTGGCCCAGAAGAGCATGTTGTTACTAGTGTTTTTAATTTAATACGTAGATGTATATTGAATAATTCCATGAATTAGATGTCCATTTCAAAGATTTTCGCTTTTCATTAAAACCTGTTGGCTAACTGAGTGAAATCATTCAGTTTGAATTTATAGTGTTGCTGTAATGGCATATCTTCAAAATATGGGCAACTAAATATGTAAATATTCATATGCTGTATAATGTAGTAAATGCATATTGTTCTTAAGGGTGGCATCTTATCCATCTTACCCTAAATATTTTATCTTGAGACTGGCCAATATATAATTATTGTGACAACCAGTACCTTCTAATTACTACAATGTGAATGTGCAGTGAACCATACAAACTACATACAAAAACAATAGGTTACTTGCGTAACCCCGGTTCTCTGATAGCATTAAGAGAGGTGTCTCACTATGGGATACGCCCCTTCCGCTTATTCCTCAGAAGCCCTATTACATTACGCCAGCCCCAATTGGCTGGCAGACGTGACGTTGTGTCTGGGAGTGGCCTCCCCACCCCTAAGTATAAAGGGAGCGACACAACATCACTCCGACATTCAAAACAAACACACCTCTTCCTCGCTTCGCACAGCAAGGAGGGTGATCTGGTGAGACACCTCACTTAATGCTATCAGAGAACCGGGGTTACGCAAGTAACCTATTGTTCTCTTTCAAGCATACGTTTTGGTGTCTCACTATGGGATATCCACACTCCCGTATTGCCAGATAGCCTGCCTCGAAGTCTCCTGCCAACCACAATAACCGCATCCGGGGCTGAACGAGTCATGACTCATGACTCACATTCCTACGCTCAATACTGCATGTGCTAAAGTTTGAGCTGTAACATCCAGTTTATAAAACCTTGCAAATGTATGCGGTGAGGACCAACTCGCCACTTCACAAATATCCTGTAACGTGACTCCTTTAAATAGAGCCCACAAAGTTGACATTCCCCTTGTTGAGTGTGCACGTAAACCAGGTGGGGATACAAGGCCCTTACTGGAATATGCCAACGAAATCGCCTCCACTATCCAGTGCGATAAACGCTGCTTAGTAATCGGCTTCCCCGTACGAGGTTTCATCCAAGATATAAACAGCTGATCACTCTCCCTGAACCCTCTGGTTCTTTCTGTATAAATGCGTAAAGCACGAACTGGGCACAATGCATTTAACTTTTGCTGTTCTGATGAAGCAAAAGGTGGTGGATAGAAGGCTCTTAACTCAAGAGGAATGATAGCATTAACTATTTTGGGCATGAATGCAGGATTAGGTTTCAGAACTACCCCTGCATCCCCAGACATGAACTGCAAACACGCTGAATGCACTGAAAACGCATGAATCTCACCTACGCACTTTATATATTTTGAAATCAACCTTGTCCAGCGGCTCAAATGGGGATATGGAAAGAGCATCAGAATCAGAAGGAATTTGACATGACGACAGGAGCTTCCAGTGTAGAAGAAAGTACAAACATAGTGCAGACATACATGATAGTGCAGACATACATAGTGTTATATTACATCCCTGTTGTGTTATTCCTAATATAATAAAAAAAAAAAATGTAAATAATGTACTATATACAGAAATAGAAGTATAGGAAAAAATTTATTGTTTAGGTAAATGTACAGATATGTTTATTAGTTAGTTGTGATGGACGATGTATAATTATGAAAGATTAATTGTTCAGGCTGAATATAGCCTGTGGGAAAAAACTATTCTTGTGCCTGGCTGTTCTGGTGGTCAGTGCTCTGTAGCGCAGACCAGAAGGCAACAGTTCGAAGAGAGAATGGGCTTGGTGTGAGGGGTCCAGGGTGATTTTTTTAGCCCTTTTCCTCACTCTGGAGATGTATATGTATATATACAGTATATAGATCTTGGAGGCTGGGCAGAGGGGCACCAATAATCCTCTCAGCAGTCCTGACTGTCCGTTGTTGTCTCTTGATGTCTGATTTGGTAACTGAACCAAACCAGACAGTTATGGATGAACACAGGACAGACTCAATGATAGCAGAGTAGAACTGTTTCAGCAGCTCCTGTGGCAGGTTGAATTTCCACAGCTGGCGAAGGAAGTACAACCTCTGCTAGGCCTTTTTTGCAATGGAGTCTATGTGAGTGTCCCACTTCAGGTCCTGAGAGATTGTGGTGCCCAGGAACCTGAATGACTCCACTGCAGTCACAGTGCTGTCCATGATGGTGAGTGGGGGGAGTGCAGGGGGTTTTCTCCTGAAGTCCACGATCATCTCCACAGTTTTGAGCGTGTTAAGCTCCAGGTTGTTAAGACTGCACCAGACAGCCAGCTCTTTAACCTCCTGTCTGTAAGCAGACTCCTCTTCGTCCTTGATGAGGCCGATGACTGTAGTGTCGTCTGCGAACTTCAGGAGCTTGACAGAGGGGTCCTTTGAAGTGCAGTCATTCGTGTTGAGAGAGAAGAGCAGTGGGGAGAGGACACAACCCTGGGGGGCGCCAGTGCTGATGGTGATAGTCCTGGATGTGAGTTTGCCCAGCCTCACTAGCTGCTGCCTGTCTGTCAGGAAGCTGGTGATGCACTGACAGATGGAGGTGGGCACGGAGAGCTTTGTGAGTTTGTCTGAGAGAAGGTCAGGCATGATGGTATTGAAGGCCGAACTGAAGTCCACAAATAGGATCCTTGCGTAATTCCCAGGTCTGTCGAGGTGTTGCACCAATCCCAAATCCCACGAGGGGGAAAGCAGTTTTGAAACTGGCAAAGCGCAGCGCGCCCTTCATGAACCTGCATACCAAAGGATGCTGTCCCACAGTTTTGTTATCAAAACCAATGTGACAAGCAGATATAGCAGCCAGAAGCACTGTTATTTTTGAAAATGCTTTCCCTTGGTCTATCAAATCCTGAAGAAATGATAGAACGACTGCCACTGCCACTGAACACTGAAAGGGAATCTAGACCAGCACCAGCCCGATCTAGACCGGGTTCAGCCCGAACCCCCTGCACTGCACCATCTCTTATCCTTTTCACTTCTCTGCTTCCCCTGGCCCAACTGGGCTCTATTTTCCACACAGAACATCTGGGAACTTCGAAACAATTCCCTTGTTGAACTCTGAACATCTGAGGGTCGGGCGCTAGTGAACAGGGGGGCTGTGGGCTCCTTTCCCCGGGAAAGACCCCATCAAACTGCCTTCTTCTTCCTCCTCGCTCCTTGAGGATGGGAGTGAGGATGAGGTTGAGGAGCTGGCTGGACCGTCTGAGCTGTTGCAGGCGGATAGTTCTTCCTTGGCCAGGCAGTTCTCTGTTCTGGGACTCCGCTGTGACCTGCTGCATTCACGTTCAGTCTCTGCCATCTAGGAATGCGATAGCTGGGGGTTGGGCAGGCCGTAACTTGTGCGAAGGTCTGCCGAGGTGGCGGAGGGGATGCAGTCTGTGCCTTTCTAGGCATACAGAGCTGCAAGGTCTCATCATCCCTCTTCTTTTCCTCGCATCTCTTTTGCATCAGTGTCAGAGCCGAGCCAAAAATGCCCTCTGCGTCCAGGATGGCTTCTTTTTCCCTGTCAGAGAGATTTGCCAAGTTAAGCCAATGTCCTCTCTCTTGAATAACCATTGTGGCCATGGCCTTGACCCCATGGCTTGAACGCGCATCTCTGAAGACGCAGAGACAGATCCGTAACGACACAGATCTCTTCCCAGTGTGTCTGACCTGGCATGGTCAACGCTTCGTCCTGCAATTCCGCTTGGTACGTGGTCAGCATAGAGGTCGCGTTCAGAGCCCTGACAGAGAGTAACTGCTTTATAATCGTGTTTCATCATGCTTGACAGGAAACGGTCCGCTTTGGATGGTAACGTCGGATTTGCAGCCACCGTGTGCTTTGGGTGCAAGTGCACGGCAACTAATGGCTCCATGGGGGGCATTCGGAGAAGTTCTACCTTCTCCATTCCCTCCACATCGAGAGCGGATTCTCCCAGCATGGGCATCCTTCTAGGTCACCGCAACCTCCTCCAGGAGCTCTGGAAACACACAAATCAGAATCAGAATCAGAATCAGAAAGAGCTTTATTGCCAAGTATGTTTGCTCCCAAAGGAGCTGCCGTGCTACCCATTTCGCTCTCGGCAGCCTCTTACACTCGTAGCAAGACTTTACAGTCTCTGCTACCACGGTCGCCATGGAAAGTTTAGTTTCTCTGCAGCGAGTTTGCACATATCTTGCAGGTCAACACTGAGAAGAGGGGATGGTGCCCCGTCCGCATCTTCCGTGGATCCCGCCGTGGCGAGGGGTTGTGCCGGGTGTGCAGGGAAGAGGAAAGAGAAGTCCTCGAAATCTTCCTCTCCTTCAGAGAGGAGAAAGTCCGGTTGTCCATCTTCCTCAAAATCAAGCGCGTCCTCTTCCTCGTCCATGCTGAGCACACTGGGCAGAGGGACACAAACGTCAAACTGGATAAAGCTGCCGTGGTGGGCAGCTCTACAGGGATAGGTACCTGCGGAGTGGCAGCTGGAACGGGGCTAGGTGACATGAGGGGATCGTTGCCTGACAGGCTATCTTGGTTTGCTAGTCTGCGACGAAGGCTCTTCACAGTGAAGCGTGCGCAGTTTTCACAGGAACCGAGGTTCTCGATCGCCAATTGGGCATGTTTCAGCCCAAGACATGCAGAGCAGACCTGGTGTGTGTCCTTGCATGAAATCTTGTTGTTCGTCCAGGAGTTTGTTAAAGGTTTATCTAATTTGTAGGCTTCTGGTGTGAAGTGAGAAGAGGTTTATGAATGTCGCAGTGACGTTGTGTCGCTCCCTTTATACTGAGGGGTGGGGAGGCCACTCCCAGACACAACGTCACGTCTGCCAATGTAATGTAATAGGGCTTCTGAGGAACAAGCGGAAGGGGCGTATCCCATAGTGAGACACCGAAACGTATGCTTGAAAGAGAACATCTGTCTACCAGGGTCCCATTGACACATTAAATTATTTAGTAAATGACATGTTATTGTGATCTTCCATTACAACATTTATTTTATTTTAATTTTATTTGTTTACCATTCAATGTAAAATGTCTTTGCAATCCCTGGCTTTGAGGTAAATCTTGGAAAAAAAAAACGAAATATCTGCACTAAGAAACTATGGTATACCGCATAATTATTTTTATTTTTATGTTTTAGCAGCTCACCATCAAACAGTTTGCTTTAGTTTTGGCTGTGTGTTATGGATGGTTTAATGTATGTATCAAATGCAGATGAGATAATTATTTTGGAATTATTGCATGTGTGCCATATGTAATGTAGGTGAGCCAAAGCTAGGATTTGTGTACAGCTGTGTGTGTGCCCAATTATAGAGCAGTACTGCAGCAGTTGTTGATGAACAACTAACATTTATAAAGTGCAATTGTATGTTTTGTGCTGGAGTACTTATGCTTTCCTTATGTATTCCTAAATTTATTCTACAGTTTTCTTTGTCACCCACAATACAAGCCCTGTAAATACATTGCCAGCGTTGAATGTTTCATCTATATGCAGTGTTATATTCATATTGGGCATTCTGTTGAATTAATCTCAATGGCTTTGCCCTGTGGCAACTGCAATTATCTTGTGATAACATAGGTTCCACATCTACATTTCAACTGTGCAAATCAAACATCCCGATACAGCTCAAATTAAATCCAAATCCAGCTTTTGCTAACAATTTTTTTAGTTTAACAATGTCACCAATATAATTTATTTTATCAAGTGTACTACACTTTTCTAATTTGTAATACATTTATTTAAGCCATTAATACCTCTTTTACACAAGTATTTTAGTGCAGGAAATATATTTGTACACCATATCTTTTTACAATTTTGAAGATTTGCAGTTAAGTACAGTGGAGAGTGCATTCTGTGAGACTTGCATAAACACACAGGTCCAACAATATATTACTTTTATGGATCAATGTGGCCACCACCTTTCTTTATTAACACTTTTGTAAGTCTGTTGTTGACAGCATACAATTGACGCAATCCCAAATGATAACCAGGGGCCTCATTTATAAAATATACATATGCACTAATTTTATTTTAGAGTTTGAGTGTGCTAAAATCCCTGCCTTTAACATAGTATTTAGCATAGAAAAGTGCTTAGTGCCAACTCAGGTTCAAAACAGTCGTACACCTTGTGGCAGAGTTGGAGTACTGCATGTATTTGAAAACTAAGTAATTCTTGCCACTTTTTTATTTATTGAAGTAAAATAAATTATTTTATTTACATTTTATTTAACAAACAGTATAAACTTTGCTAAAGGGATTGTTTTGAACAAGTATGAACATTTAAATAAACACACACATATATATATATATATATATATATATATGAATATACCCTTGGCAAATATGTTTAAATTTACAATTTATGAAATAAATATTTTTCTCCAATACAGTAAGAGGACGTGTGTCTATATCTTCCTAATGCACGGTGAAGAGGAGAGTTTGAGTGGCCAAAGACTCCAAGGATCACAGCTGGAGAACTGTAGAAAATAGTTGAGTCTTGGGGTTCAGAAAGCTGGTTTGGGAGGGTTTCAAGAAAAAAAGAAAATTCTCTCATCCAAAAACAACTCCAGCATATTTATTTGCTAGATATGACTGGAACTTTAAACAGGACTGGGTTCAATGGTCAGATGAAACAAAAAAAATTAGCTTTTTAGCAGCAAACACTCAAGATGGGTTTGGTGCACACAGGGATAAAAAAAAGTACCCCATGACAAACAATGAAATATACTGCTGGATCTTTAATGTTGTGGGCCTATTTTTCTGCCGGAGATCCTGGATATCTTGTTCAGGTAGATGGCATAATGAATTCTATAATACACCAATGGATAAAAAATTTAAAACTGACTGTCCATGCCAGAAATCTTATAATGGGCCATGGTTGGATCTTCCAACAGGACAATGATCCACAAACAAACATCAAAATCAAAACAAAAATGGGTCACTGAGCAAAAAACGAATATTCTGCCCAGGCCAACCTAGGTCCCTGACGTGGACCCTATAGAAATTGAGTGTGGTGAACGGAAGAGGAGAAGCATCAACATGCAGTTGGAAATCTGAAGGGTCTGGAGAGATTCTGGATGAAGGAATGGTCTCTGATCTCCTGTCAGATGTTCTCTAAACTCTTCAGGCATTATAGGAGAGATTCAGAGCTGTTATCTTGGCAAAAGGGTGATGCAAAAAGTATTGAATAAAAGGGTATGATTAATTGTGACCAATGTGTATTAGAAAAAAACATTTATTTCATAATGAGATTTCTCTCCCAGCTATTTTATATATATATATATTTGTATGAAAAGGACCACCTTGCCACCTCATACATTTAAAAGATGTTTAAACAAAACAAACCACTTTTATGATTAAAAAAATTTTTTTTTTTTACACAATCTGTTCTCTATTATTAAAACATATTGTTCTGCAATCATATACTATGGGAGTAGTGAAAAGCACATTTTTCTTAAGGTATGCCTGTTGTACTCCAAGCACATTTCACATCAAATGTGCAACACTTTTGTATGAAAAGGACCACCTTGCCACCTCATACATTTAAAAGATGTTTAAACAAAACAAACCACTTTTATGATTAAAAAAAAATTTTTTTTTTTACACAATCTGTTCTCTATTATTAAAACATATTGTTCTGCAATCATATACTATGGGAGTAGTGAAAAGCACATTTTTCTTAAGGTATGCCTGTTGTACTCCAAGCACATTTCACATCAAATGTGCAACACTTCATAAATGAAACCCCTGGAGACTACTTAAAATTGAAGTATTAAAAAAATAATAGAAAGAATGTATTTTAATTAAATAGTTTCAAACTAAAGTTCTTCTTAAATATATCTTGTTTACCATATCCCATCAAAAGACATCTGTTTTGTCTGGTATACAAATGCGTTATTCAAGTCTTGTCTGATACCCAAAATCAGTTAATAAAACTGTATTAACAAAGTCTTGTAACAGCCTGAGAGGATGACAGATAAATGGTATTAAAAGGAGTCATAAATGCTGTTGGTTTGACTATATAAGAGTTGCATTAGATAAAACAACACTTTGCTCTTGAGGCCTAAAGACCACAGTCATTTACATGGGACATTAAAAAAATATGTGCTAGTCTGCAAGTTGAATTTTCTTTGGTTTTATTATGGAGTGAATTTTCACTTTCACAAGTATTCATTGATGCATTTGTAATAAGTCAGACAGATATGGAATCTATAGAATCTTAATAAATAATGAGAGAGACGCAGTGATCAGTGAGAGATCTGTTATCATGGGCTGCTAAACCAACAGTGTTCCAGATGATAAAACATGTAGGGTTAATATTTATCTTGTAACTTTGACATTCCCCAAAACCTGATGTTAAATCTGATTTATTGTGAAGACCACAACAAATCTTAAAATAAGCTTAAGTAACATCATTGGTGTAAGCTTAAGAAAATCATTAAAACTTATTTGAAATCATTTTTGAACATTTGGCTCCAGTCTCCTGGACAAAAGGCATCTATGCCTAAATCCATTAATCAAAGACTAGGTTTAGGTACAAAGGAAAAAACCCTTTGTCCCATGCCTGACATCTACTAAAACAAACTTGAAAATGTCTTTCAGTTAAAAGTAAAATAATTATTTTTAAGTGGTCTGTTACATTTAGAGTTTAGCCGAATTACACTACTCTGCCAGGGCTTATTTTGTAGTATAGACTAGACTTTATCCCTGCTAAAGAAATCTTTAGATCAAATATGACATTAATTGAAATACCTTACCCAAAATGTATAAATATTTATAAACAAGTATGTCATTTATGTAAAATGACTACCAAATACATATACAGTGGGTACGGAAAGTATTCAGACCCCCTTAAATTTTTCACTCTTTGTTATATTGCAGCCATTTGCTAAAATCATTTAAGTAAATTTTTTTTCCTCATTAATGTACACACAGCACCCCATATTGACAGAAAAACACAGAATTGTTGACATTTTTGCAGATTTATTAAAAAAGAAAAACTGAAATATCACATGGTCCTAAGTATTCAGACCCTTTGCTGTGACACTCATATATTTAACTCAGGTGCTGTCCATTTCTTCTGATCATCCTTGAGATGGTTCTACACCTTCATTTGAGTCCAGCTGTGTTTGATTATACTGATTGGACTTGATTAGGAAAGCCACACACCTGTCTATATAAGACCTTACAGCTCACAGTGCATGTCAGAGCAAATGAGAATCATGAGGTCAAAGCATTATCCCTGCTAAAGAAATCTTTAGATCAAATATGACATTAATTGAAATACCTTACCCAAAATGTATAAATATTTATAAACAAGTATGTCATTTATGTAAAATGACTACCAAATACATATATGTATATCTACTATATCAAGTATGTAAATGGTACAACAGAAAGAATGCATGTACAACAAAAAATGTACAACAATATTTACACTTTCTGCCTGACATTCAGACCATTAAAAATCCACAGGTTTCTCAATATCAGTAGGCTACATGATCATACAGTGTGCAAAATACCAGTAAAATAGCATGCAAAATGTAAAGAATATTAGTTTTGAGGTTTAAATTTGCCAGAAGATTTCTCTGTTTTATCCTTCCTGGTCTGTGGAGCCATTAGAGGTGACTTCAGCATGATATGTGCTGCCCATACATATTTGTCTTCAGTGTTGAAAACATAAAAGAAGAGAGAAATTAAAGAAGCAAGTATTTCACAGCCAATTTTCTGAAATTTCTGAAACATACAATAGATGTACCTTAAAACAAGTGATTTTATCTTATGTTTTGGAATTTTTCTCGGAGATTCTTGACAACACTGTGTTGACTAGAATCAGCCTTTTTATCAGAATCCAGTGCATTTTTAACAGCATTGTCTAAGTGTTCACTATAGGATGAAGCTTTCTCAATTTTTTTGCACCTCTCAATCCTAGGTAACTGTTCTGTCTTAGATCCTCCATCTTCCCTCAAACGGTATTCCTCTGACTCCTGATATGCCCGACAGCGGTCAATGACAGCCATGATTGAGATCTTCTCACGAGATGTTGGCGAACGAATTTGGACGTAGCTGTCATCTGTTCCATCTGTTGTTATTTCCTGTTTCTTGCACTCTTGTGTAGGCTGATCCATCTCTACTGGCGGTGTAACCTCAGGTACTTTCTCAACCACAATTATATTCTCCTCATTTGAAAGGGTAGCTTGAGCGGAGATAAAGAAGCCACTGCTGGCATTTTTACTCTGAAGACTATGCAGATCACTCAAGTACAAACTGCTAAATTTTTGGTCCAGACAATCTGCATGCTGGGTCTGAGTCACCAATTCTTCTGTATCCCTTCCTGGATAAAACTTGTAAACTGAAGAGTCTGTGGAACCATTAGAGGCGACTAAGCGGCTAGAAGAGCAGCTAGAATGTCTTCTAGAACTGCCGTCAAACATCCTTTCTTCCACAGAATGACTTTGGCCTACTGGTGGCTGAGCAGACGAGCTTCTGAGGTGTGCATATTTTGAACAAAGCTCACGAACGTCTGGCCAGTTGAAGTTCTCAGGTGGTGGACTAAGAGGACTCCTGGAATGGGACAGGTGTGGGGACAAGACCTTTGGGCTACTGAAAGAATTAGAAGTGTAGTCTGGGCTGGGAGTCATAACCTGGGCCTTTTGATCCCCATCGTAATCAGGCTGGTCATATGGAACCATGGAGAGCATCAAGTCTGCTTTACCTGTTAATCAAAATGCCAAATGTAAGTGGAGCAGCGAAACATAAGATAATGTTGAATATACAAAATATTAAACATGTAATAACATAAAGCAGAATTTCTGAAACTAATTAAAATTTGAAGAAATATTTTGAAAAATAGATGTCAACCACATGTGACAAGCAGAATTTAAGGTTATATCGGTCCCAGTTGCTTATACTGTAGTTAGCTCCATTGTGGCATGGGACACTAACTTGTCACAGTCCAATCAATGAATGTTGAAATATGTTGTGTTATGGAAACAAAACTTAGTTGAAAATGTTATTTCATATCATTTAACTTTTTTATCATAAAGATATGATAATAGTCAAATAGTATTCATGTTACCTTTGGTCTCCTTCTCTGGCTTTTCTTCCAACACAGAAAGCAGGTTCCTCTTAGCCAACCATGTATCTCCTGACTCCTGACTCCTCTGCCTCAACATTGGTTGTGTGCACTTAATGCGTTGACTGTATTTCCTTGCCAGACTGAAAACTTTGTTTTGGGATGAATCTGCATCTTCAGCTGACTGATTTCCTGTTTCTCTATCCGCTTCATTTTCTGCTCTCAACTGGATAACTCGGGGGGCTAGAGCTCTAAGGGGTCTTCCTTCATCCTCCCATTGTCTGGGTCTGATGACCTCATTCTCACTGGCTGCACAGTTGTCCTTCTCCTTAAAAGGTAATGGTGTAGAGGACTCCTCTCTGATAGTGCTCAGGTCTAAATCTTCAAATATAATCAATCCATCGCTGCCTTTGGCTTCTGTCTTTCTTCTCTGGCTTGGATCCTTCCTGGAGAGGCTGGGACTGGTCCCTCTAAAATAAGGACTTTCTCTGGGCCTCAGTTCTTTGAAGTCCCCTTGACATCTAGTGACCTCTTTCTCCATATCTTGCCAGACTTTGACCATCTCAGAGGAGGGACGGGAAAAAAACCCTTCCTCATGACTCCCATCTATAGACTGAGGTTTAATGGAACTATCTACATCAGAGTCAAACAGGTCTCCGTTTTCGTCATGCCTAGTAAAATCTGTGTAAGCACTGATAACAGGTTGTTCCATGGAGGCTGGATTTGCATTGGTCTCTATTAATGCCGATGTAAGCAAGAGAGATTCTGTGAGTGTGGTATGAGCTTTAACAGGTCCAGATGTACTGGTGGTCTTCTCTAGGGCAAGGCCTTTATCTTTAGGAATGCTGTTAAAACGACTAACAGAATTTCTAACAAGCCCACTTGGAATGTAAGTGAGGCTCTCTCTACGTTTTAGGCTAAATGTAGCATCCTGGTGTTCTGCAGTCTCATAGTAGCTCCTAATCTTGCCAATGAGTAGTTGGTCTTGCCTGGAAAGCACTGAATCCCTTCTTCTGTCAAAAAGACTGTCCTCCCCTGATGACCCGATCATGAAGTTTGCTGATTCAAGGGGTTCCTGGGTCAGTGGAATTCCATGTGACTCAGAGCAGGTGGTAGCAAGGTGATGTTGATGCTCATGGGCATCTCCTAGACTTAGAGTGCTCCCGGTCCTGCTGGGTAAACGTGGAGATACGCAACCAAGGGAGCGCATTTCATCTGTGCTGATGCTACTACGCCGTGCACTACAGACAAAATGTTCAGCAATGGTGCTGGCCTTATCAAGCACAGATGATGGTAGGATGCTAGTGGAGTCTGGTTTCTCTTCTACATCCTCCTCTTCCTCTGAAGAATCACCAGGAGTGTCTTCCTGCTGTAAGAGTTCTTCTTTAGAACCTTTCCGATCATCGTTGTCTCTTGCAGACTCGAGATCCTGAATATTTGGGACCTGTTTGTCCATCTCTATTGACTCTGGATCACAAAACACATCTGGCTTCAATTTCTCAGTGGAACCCCAGTAAGAGGTTATTTCCAGGTTTTGTGATTTGTCCTTGAGTGTAAGAAGGGAAAATCAAGATACAGTTATAAGCTAATTTCGTTGATCTCTGGGTGTTTCAAATACAGCTGGGTATTGTTAACAACCTCATGATACAATACATATATCAAAGTTCAAAACATTGGTTAGATAACCTGTTACTTACTAAAGCAACTTAAAATCAGTAAGTAGAATTTTAGTCCTATGGGTAAAGTACTAACACTAATACAATTATGCTAGCATAATAAATGAAACCATTTTAATTAAACAACTCACCTGTTCCGAGATATATTTTTCATTCATAAGATATGCCTCCACCTGTTCAACTGATGGGCCATTTTCTTGTTTAAAATTGTTCCCAGTGTCCTCACACCCAACTTCATCCTAAGATAAAAACATGCTTTTTTTTTTGTTTTTGTTTTTAGAATTTAGGGGTGTTTGACAAAAACAATTAGCTTTAAATATATGCCTAAGAATATTTACAGTGTTATATAAGCAATATCAAATAGTATAACAATTATTCAGATACCTTTAGATTAAGTTCATTAGCAAAGGCCAGATGAAATCAGCAGACTTTTTCCATGCTGATAACATTTATTAAAAATGTGTTAATGTTCAAAATCTTTAAATGACATTTCTAACAAAATGTGTTAAACAGGACTGTAGTTTTATTGATGGGCGAAAGCACAATCAAATTAGGTAAGAAAAATTAATGAACACACAAAGGGTGGAGAATATGTAGAACTTTGTGAATGATGTGAAAATCTGTGGAGCTTTCTGAATAATTCTGTGCACACAGATTCCATCTGGGCTTGGTCATTAGTTCAGAAGTACTTTCAAAATAACAGAACTGATAGTACAGCAGTTTTATTAGTTAATGCAAGTTAAGTAATGGTTAAGAGTTATGTTAATGTGATGAACAGAACAACTGTTATTACATGCACATCTTTCACAAACATTCATGTTTGAATTAAAATCAACATTGAACATTTGAAACAATTATGTAAACTGGGGTATGATATGGAAAGCGAGTGCTCACCATGTCCTAACCAGACAACGAAATAAAGCGACATGCAATAAAAGGTATCTCATACATTTTAAAGAGTTTTTGTCCTAGAGCCACACACACACACACACACACACACACACACACACACAAATCTCACTGAACATGAAGTAACACTCATGTACAGTGCTGCTTGAAAGTTTGTAAACCCTTTAGAATTTTCTATATTTCCGCATTAATATGACCCAAAAGATCATCAGATTTTCATGCAAATCCTGAAAGCTTTCAACCCAATCAAACAATTGAGACAAAAATATATATAATTTCTGGTGAAGCCTCACATTAGTCATAATATAGTCAAGGTACATGTTCTTTAGCTGTACGTTCCTCAGTTGCATTAGTGTGTTATTCTGTATCATAGTACTTGCAAACAGAGAGAACAGATCTGACAGTGTCACATCGCATCCTATTTACATGTTAAATGTGCATAGACAAAATTATTTGTCACTAGAATCTTGTTGTATCATGCCTGGTTAGACATGGTGTTACCATTGGAGCCTCAAGGAATTTTTTTATGCAGTGGCCAGAGTGGAACAGCATGCACGAATAAATAAATAAAGGGTTAACCTGAAATTATTTCAAGGATCTAGTTCTATTTGATCTAACCCATACAATTTTTTTTCCTTTGATGTATGGTCACATTAAATATTTTTGAATTTGATAACATGATTGCAGTATTCTAGAAAGAAGAGGAAATGATCGTTCTTGACTTTAAAAATTAAAACAAATTGTATCTGGAAGATGCACATATTCATAAAAAAAAAAAAACACACAAAAACCCCCCCACAACTTTTCTCTTTATAGTTACAGAGAGATAAACAGTTTGGGTTGAACTGGGGAGACCAGCACTAAAAAGCATTGCTTTTACAAGGGAAATAATAAAACATGGTGAAATGTTTTATACATGCTTGTAAGTTTTGACCCTCATTAAATTCAAAAAGTGATCCTCCTATGAACATGCAGTATGATTAAAGTTGCTTATGCAAGTAAACTGAGAGTGGAGTATGAAAAGGAAATTCTAAGTGAACTATTTGATCCATGTTTGATAATGTTTTGCTGGATTAAGAAATTAAACACTTTAGTGCCAGTTTTGTTTTTTGATGTTGTTAAAAATTTGAGAATCAACATTCTCTACAAGTCAAAATCCTGCTATTCAATAAAGCTATTATTACTGTTTTGAATGCAGAGATCTGAAACAATAAAAAAAGAGTGAACATTTATCAATGTTTATCATATAACAATCATAACACTGTTGCTAGATGGCAATAGAGTGAAACTCAGCAATACAGTAAATGTAATCATTAGTACTGTATATGCATAATGTGATGAACTGTAAAAAGGTAACTACTTGTTACAATTTGTTTAGTTCTTCTATCACTGCTCTACAAAGTTAGCTTCTGCTTATGCATTGTTAGCTGTTAGTGAATTGAGGCATTCTGTGAGAGCACATGCAACATGGCGGGAGGTTTGGCAGACATGCAGGTCATGTTGCAGGTCAGGTTGGGGTATGATAGAATCCCCTTGGTAGCAGAGAACCTCACCGTTGTGAAGTCCATGGAAAGCAATGCTCTGGCTCTATAGTGCCAGCAGGAAATGGCAGCCAACATTGAACTGGCAAAGTCAGCTACCTGGTTGTCCTCCATTAGAATATCGTCAGAGTCACTTCCCTCTTCTTCTGCTTCATCCCCATCCTCTTGCATTAATCTGGCCTTCAGAGACGGCGAGCTATGGATGGGCTCCTCATTATCAATGGGAATCAGGGCTTCAGGAGAGTATTCTTCTTGTGCAGCAGGTTTCTCAGCTGAAGACTGACATAAGCCATGAGTGTTTACGCTGGCAGAGGCTTGTAAAGGCCACCTGTCAATGTCCAATGCCCCCTCACTGTCAGAATGCTGGGGCATGAAGTCACAAAGATTTCTTCTTAAGAGACATAAGGACATGACCCAAACCAAGAAAAAAAGATTATCTCTTTGACCTCACTCTAAACACAGATACGGGTAGTAACATGCTACATTTTGGGACGAAATGGCAGTCGTGGCCTAATGGTTAGAGTGTCGGACTCGTAACCCAAAGGTTCGAGTCTCATACTGGCAGGGGTTGTAGGTGGGGGGAGTGAATGTACAGCGCTCTCTCCCACATTCAATACCATGACTGAGGTGCCCTTGAGCAAGGCACCGAACCCCCAACTGCCCCCCGGGCGCCGCAGCATAAATGGCTGCCCACTGCTCCGGGGGTGTGTGTTCACTGCTGTGTGTGTGCACTTTGGATGGGTTAAATGCAGAGCACTAATTCCTAGTATGGGTCACCATACTTGGCCACATGTCACGTCAAAAAATTTACTCAAGTAACTTTTTTTTAAAAATGTACTTTTTGAAGTAGGTTCAATAATGGGTGCTTTCACTTTAAGGCCCATTCACACCAAGACCGATAATGTCACTTTTAATGCTCAAGTTCTTTAAAGCAGGGTTAAATTCTGGCCGTCACTGTTTTTATCATTCATCAGCTTCAAATAATTCCACTGATATTGTTCCTCCTTGTTATTGACATAGTTGTGGTGTGGAGTTCCCTATTTTCATAGAATTAGAAACATTATTAAAACTAATTTAGTTATTGTTATATTTATTGTCCTTGGTGTGAACGGGCCTTTGCATTGGGCAATGTTCTAATATTTTGACACATCCTTTATGTCATACATGAAATTGACTTCACCATGATCAGTTCATCATCACTATCTTGCTTGCTCCTAATCAGATTATTAACTCACTACCCGAGTGAACTTTCTCATTTTTTACTCTTACCTTATAGGTTGTTTGCAATCACATGATTCTGATGACGCGCGAAATGCAGCTGGAGGGCAGGAAGTGATTTTTCTCCATAGAAATCACTAACAAAACTCAAAATGCCTGTGTTTTGCGTTGTTTATGGATGCTCAAATTGACCAAACCGAGAAACCACAAGGAGCTTTTATCGTGTATGTAAATGTGTTGTTCATAAGGGGGAAAAAGTCAAGAAATTGCCTGAAAAATGCAGGAAAAAGTGGCTTGTAAACCTGCGTCTGCGGTCGGGAGGAGCGGAGCCGGATAATGCTTGTGTGTGCAAATGATTAATATAAGATGTAATAATATATTAAGATATTAATAAAGAAATATATAAATAGATACAGGGTGACAGTCAGAATTCACTGAATGCTGAACGCCACACATAGACACGATGTAAATAAGATATTGTTTGTAGTTCTGAGAGCTTCATATCACGGAATTGTGAGATTGCGATAAATTGAAGTGAGTGACAACTTTTTAGTGATTAGCGTTAGATGAAAGCGCTATTTGCTCGCTTTCCAGGCTGTAATCGATTCAGAATTTAAATAAAAGTTGTTTTACATGCTGCTAACAGGACCAACAGCCACATGCCCTGTAACTTACATGCAGCAAAGTTTCAGGAGTGACATATATTCCACATCCCTCATATAAATACGGGATTCACTTTCAAAATAGTTACTTAGCCTATATCCACCGACTCAATGGCAGGCAAGTATTTCAATTTAGTTTAAAAATCGCTCCTCTTCATAACATATGGATCACATCCAACATGTTGTGATTATCAATACCTTTCTCTTGTAATAGCGTGGTGGTTGAAGAGAGATCCTCTCATAATTGTAAAGCGTGTTGGGTGTACAGCAATACAATGAAAGCGCTATATATAAAATAATGCCTCAAATGCCTCGTGCCAAAAAAAAGAGTACAGTACGGACTTTCCTGTATCTCATCCGTTCTGCTTTTTTTGCCACTCCTGAAACTGTGCTGCATGTAAGTTACAGGTTATGTGGCTGTTGGTCCTGTTAGCAGCACGTAAAACAAAACTTTTATTCAAATTCTGAATTGATTATAGCCTAGAAAGCGACCAAATAGCGCTTACATATAATCACTAAAAAGCTGTCACTCACTTCAATTTATCGCAATCTCACGATGTTCCTTTATAATCAGTGAAGCTTTCTGAACTGCAAATAATATCTTATTTACATTGTGTCTACGTGTGGCATTTAGCACTGAGTGAATTCTGAATGCATGAGAGGTGGCAGCCCAATCTATTTATATCTTTATTAATATCTTAATATATTATTACATCTTATATTAACCATTTGCACACACGAGCATTATCCACCTCCGCTCCTCCCGACCGCAGACGCAGGTTTACAAGCCACTTTTTCCTGTGTTTTTCAACCAATTTCTTGACTTTTCCCCACTCTCGAACAACACATTTTCATACACGATAAAAGCTCCTTGTGGTTTCTCGGTTTGGCCAATTTGAGCATCCATAAACAACGCAAAACACAGGCATTTTGAGTTTCTGCTAGTGATTCCTACGGAGAAAAATCACTTCCTGCCCTCCAGCTGCATTTCGCACGTCATCAGTGACGTCATGTGCAAACAACCTATTAAAATGATTACTATTACTACTCCTTGAGTATTGTATTTTATTTGTATTTTTACCCACCCCTGTCTTCAGCACTTCAACAGTCTTGTGGATCACAAAATAAACAACACATCAAATAAAAATAACATAATTTGTACACTTCTGCTTGTCACCTTATATTAACAAATGTGTGGTTTCTATTATTTCTTTTTGGGTTTTTATATATTGTCTTTGTGGTTTTGTATAGTAACCACATGTAACTGAATTTTCAATATTCCTTTGGTTGATTTAATGACTTCTTACCTTTAGTATTACTGAAGAATTCAGCCAGACACCAGATCAGCCAGATAAAAGAAAAATATTGTTAGTAAATTTGAAGGCAGATTATTTTGTACAGGATAAATTTTTATCAACAATGTTTATAATTTTGTTCCAACCCATTTCTGTGAAATATGTGAAATACAAATGGTATACAGTGGGGTCCAGAAACATTAATTTCTTTTATTTTCATTTTTCCCCTTTTAAATACTAAAAATGTAAGATCATTTGTGGCATTAGCCCTATTTTGTAGATTTTTTTGTTTTCACTTTCAGATTTCAGACATTCAGATTTTTTTGTTTAATTTTTCAGTTAAACATTCTGCTTAAATTAAAATTAAGTTAATAATAACATTTAAAGGTCTTACTACAAAAGAGAATGAAAAATGTACTGTATCATTATTACACGCCAGCAGCTAAGACTTTTGACCTTTTTATTTAAAACATCAGACAATATCTTAACTTAAAGTTGAAACAGAATGGACACATAGAGATTTACCTTCAGTGTTCTTTAGGATCTCTTCAGATGGTTCTGTTGGAAGATGAAGTAGTAGACCATCTTTGTGAAATTGGAAAAGGTCAGTTTAAAAAATGAGTTAATATGTTAAGAGCAAGACATTGGGAACCTACCTGACTGTCTCCGGCCTTGTCTAGAGTCCTCTGACTGGCATGACACAGACTTTTTGAGTCTCTCAGGGCTGTACCTATACTTTTTGTCTGAAAAAAGTTGCCGTCAAAACACGCCCAAGACAATTTTTTTACATAATTAAAAAATAATTGTATGAAATATGTTCATGAGTGGTTGGAAATATTTACAGATAGAATCCATCTCCAAGATTGCTTCCTTTGCCTAAAAGAGAAACACCAAATAATTGTCTGTCCAAATTAATTTGAGATATTTTTAAATACAAAACCTAGTAATAGTTTTTTATTCATTACATACCTTTTGTGGTATCACAGCCTGATGATTCTCTAGAATGAGCAGTTTAATATGATGAGCCCATAATTTTTTCTCCTCCACCGTCCTAGCCTAATGAAAAGAAGATACTGTATTACAGGAGTTGTATAAAAATAAAAGCAATAAAAAAAAAATAATAATTTATATATATACAGTATATATATATATATATATATATATATATATATATACACACAAGGAGTAACTTCTATAACATACAAGGAGTAACTCCATTTTGAAGAATTTTCATACAGTGACAGCTCACAGTGAGCGTGAGCTTTCAAGATCCAAAAAGAACACCAAAAAAGTGGTCCATACAACACAATACATGTGGTTATTTTAAGTCTTCTGAAGCCATAGAATAGTTTTGTGTTACAAACAGCAAAATAATTTTTTGCACTTCAATCAAATATGGCATGCTGAATGTTAGAGAGCTACAGTGAAAGTGGAGTGACATATAAAAGATAACTTCCAAGAGTCATTGTATGGCAAGAGCTGCGTAAAGCTTCTTTATAGCCCTCCTGTAGTAACTAATTTTATTCCTTAAAACTCATCTTTGATAGTCAAAATGTCATATTTAAACGTTTTTACTGTGTAAATAATTTCTTCATGCATTAAAATGGCTTGAATATAACTCTATACCCTTGCCTCATTTAGTATATGTGGAGTCATAAATATGCACATTAGCCTCAACTTAATCACACCAGCTCAAACTACCGGCTCCTTTTTACTTGGTTAACTGAAGTAGTAAACACTACACAAGTGGCAATATTGGATTAATTTGTTGAATTAATTAATTCTGGAGAAGAAGAGGAAGAGTGAATTATACAGGGTTGTATACAAGGTCATATAATAATAATAATAATAATAATAAAACATTTATTACAAATAGCAATTCAAAAAAAAAAACTTTCTCAAAGCACTTTACACAAAAGCAAGCACAACATTGTAAAACATTACACTTTAAATATAACAAACAACAAAAATTACAAAATAGAACAGATAATAAAGTAAAAGCAATTCTGAAATAAAATGTTTTAAGATAACATTTAAAAATGCCTAATGAATTTGCATCCCTAGTGAGAATTCCACAGTTTTGGAGCATAATATGAAAAGGTCCTATCTACGGTGGCCGAGAAGTGCAGAACAAATCACAATTCTGAAAACAAAAGAACAAATTACAAACGCAAATGCAAGTCTAAAAAACAAAATAACAATTCAGAAAACACAACAACAATTCAGAAAACATTATAACAAGTCAGAAAAAACAATGACAAATCTGAAAACAAATTAACAAGTCAGAAAACACAACGACAAATCAGACAAACCGGAAGAAGTAGGTATAGTTTGAGACAGTGCCATTGGTTTGGGATTAATCACCGCTGACTGGACGAGACATCTGTCAATCAACGTATACAGGGAGAACCAGCCGAAGAACAGCAAAGTTGTGGTAGAAAGTCCGGAGATGGTATTAAAGTAGCTCAGTTTAAATGTATTGTATGAATTGCCCTTACTATGGAATAAAAAATACGGGGTGT